GTCAAGTCAACAGAAGCTACAGACTTATTCGAGTGGCTGGAAATATTTACTAAATCTCATTGGCATAAAGAAATATTAAGAACTGTTAAGGAAAACAAAAAAAAAAAAAAAAAAAAAAAAAGGAAAAATATTCCAAAAAGTTATCATTTGCTAAATGAACAAAACTTGTGGTATGTAAATTTATCTATTTTTAAATATCAGTCGAACTAAAATTATATATGTTAACAAGAATGTTGAAGCTATTTGAGGGAGTGCACTTGAGCACTTTTACTCTTTATTAACTAACTTTCATAGCTCATTACAAGTATGAAGTTTCGAGAATCCCGGTTACCGTGGTGACGTCAAGAAAACAATCTCTAACAAAAATACTGACTGATTTTCAATGGCACATATTGCATTCTAAAAGCCAAGAAATCGGCTTGATTGCCTCACATGCAGTGGATCCTGCCATCTCTAGATAAAAACTACAGAGTTACGCGTCACTGATCCCAACTCTTTACTTGCTATCCTTGTAAAAGAAGTTTAAATGTTAGTTTTCAGTATGGGTCTTTTATCTAGTCTTTAGTTGATCATATATATGAAGCTAATGGTGGTTACTGTTTGATATATAAATTAATATGTGTCAGCAAATTCAACGAAGTCATAAATAAGTTTCAAAGATGTCTATTATTGAATGATACTGGAACTAGATAATTATTTTATATGAAAAAATTAACAATAAGTTGAATATAATTCATTGATATAATTTTTTCTTACAATTAGACAATAACAGCTTAACAATTAATAGAGAATATTAAACTTTCTTTAAAACTAAATTCAAATAATTTTTAATGATTGATACTTAGAATTTGACGTATATGAGCAAATTATATTACAGTCCACAAATAATAGTGAAAATATGTTTATTTAAGAGAAAATATGCATCGTTAAAGGTGATTTACATATTTCGTCTAACACAAAATCATAAAATATCTTATTCTTAATATTTCACAGCCTTTTATACTCCATTGTATGTACGTACTTGTCTATTAGACAATTATTTGCGAACTACCAAAATACTTTGCTGTCTTTAAATAAATAAATATTTTGAAAATTTATTCATAAATGAAATTAAAAACAAATTTTAAGCAGACAACAGCATTCTTTTTTGCTATAACATTCCTGAGGTAAATACGACAGATACGAAGATACATCAACACTTCATTTAATACTTCATCGCCGCTCTATGTAAATTGCAAACATTTTTATAATTTTTATTCACATTTTCAAAACGTTCAAATATCAATTAATTTCAGTAGATTTTTTCTTATTTTATTTTATTTTTTTTTTTTATTTTAATTATTTTTCTTTTCTCAACTATTAAAAAAACATATAGTGTATAAGTGTATAAATTGCTCAAACAATAATGCCGCTTGCCGTGATTACTTCTTCATTTTTATTTTTAATCATACATCAAATTTATATACGTAGATTGTCTACGTTGTCTACGTTGGTTGTAAAAATTTAACTAAATAAATACTTAATTTATTACTTGAAATTAATTTAAGACCACTTGTCATGAATTGCAAAAAAATGTATTTAAAATGAATACAAAATAAAAAAAATACAACAGCAGAAATAAGTTTATTTGTCTTGCTTCATCGGTGATCACTTGCTGATCATACTCAGCAAGACACAATGTCACATGCCTATTAAATACAACAGGAGCGGTTCAATACTTAAAGGTGATCAATTTTGAAAGGCAAACCATCAGAAACTTTATGTAGCTAAGTCTGTATTGTGTTATGAGTATAAAGTAAGTACAATAATGTTTTTGGAGGATCTATTGTACTATCCTCTACTAGTATAGAGAAACTTTTTCCAGTCTCATTTTTCTCAAGAATTCAAGATTATTGACTAGATTGTGTATTGCGAATTCGTCCTAATAAATATAGTTCTAGGTTATTTTTTTTCAATGCATAACATTTTCATAGTATGTGCTCTAATGACTCAGTCACTGTTTTGCAGAATCCACATATGAGACATCTCCGATGCGCAGACAACCATTGAGTCTAAACTGACCGCTACTCTTTAACATTCTTAAGCTATTCTTAGAGAATTCAATATAGAATTTAACTCTCTTACTCTTATTGTTGTCTGCAAGGAATTTAGACTTTGGGAGTCTGAACACTCTTTTTCAAACTCATTTGTATATTTTGCAATACGGTTCAGAACTTATCATTATATTTGATTAGCTTATACGATTATTTGTTTCTGACCAACATACATTCGGAACGATCGGTCTTAAGGTATGTGTTTACGAAGTATTTGATGGCGAACTGCTCCATTTTTAACTGAGTAGGTTCTCAGTTAGTTGACTAATCGAATGAAACATTGTACACTGAATTTTTTGTGTATCGAAACAGTTAAAGACGTTCATGAATTTAATTATATAAAACTTACAAAACAATTTAAACATAACATATCATTTAAAACTGTTAAGATATATTGGATTTTTATGATTCGACCAATTTGAAAACAGATTTGTGGAATTGTAAAAGAAATACACTTGAAGAATAATGCAGCTTCACCCGAATCAAGTTTGAGAATTTTGCTAATGTTTTAAAAATCTTGTCGCTGTCCCAATATATATTTAGTGTTTATATCTTTATTATATGTGCCATATATTTGCTGTGCCAAGATCAAGTTTTTGCATTACAGAACTTAACCAACTTAGGAGTCTGGTAAATCCTTATTTCGAAATATAAGTACTCAGAAAAAAATGTCCTTATGAAACAACCTGCATTTTGAGATTTGCCTAATCGGGCTTGTGATATCAAAATCACGCCTCTGGTCTTACTTGGCCAGAAGAGGAAACACTGTCGTCACAAAAACCAACCATCCAGTTTATCAAGTATTTCAGTATTTTTAGTATTTTCATACTAATTTCTGATTCAGCGATTCCACTCCTGGGTCTTTAGGTTAATATCACAGCATGTTGTCATTATTAAGTGTTTGCTTTACGCTGCATGGTTGTCACCTTTGACCAATTTAATTTGCCAGTACGACGAATTCATGATCTGTGCCGAGTAACGTGAAGCTTGAAAAATTCGAATTGCAAATTTGACGTATCATCAAGTTCGTAAATAAATAATAAATTTTAATTTAATGCTGTTTAATAATATTAACTAAAAAGTAATGAAATATAATTTATTTACTACTAATAATATAGAAACAAAAGCATTAATATTTAACATAAGATAATTACTTTAAATCTTCTTACGAGGAAATAAAAGAATAAAGAGAAAAATTTAATTAATAAAATAGAAACACTTAAAGTCAATTTAATAAGTAATTTCATTCATATAAGTAAATCCATTATTATTGTAATTAATATTCATTTTTAATCAACAACTTTTTTTTTGCAGTGTACACATCCGCATATCGGCTTAACCTTAAGCCTCTTCAAATTCGTTATGGTGCGTTTAATTTAATTAAAAGATATTGACAATTTTGTAATTTATGCGTGTGTGCTACATTCCGATATCCGACTATGTGACTATCTGGCCTACCAAGTGTGGCACACTTTCTTGAGTGGGAAAGTGGGGTGGCGGCAAAGCATTTTGCAAGAGATAATTTGATATAATTTATGCGTATTAATTAAGAAGCAATTCCTATCAAGTGGAAGACTGGAGAGTGCGTGTGAAATTTCAAGTGTCTCCCACAATTTTCCAATGGTGTATGCATTTTAATTTATTCCAGATAAATCGGGTTTTAATTATGAGTAATGAATGCCTTCGTTATAGAGTCAAAGTAATTTAATTGTAAATTATGTGCCATGTACATGTTAAGTAGTTTAAACGCCTGAGAGGAAAAGAATCTCATTAATTTGAAAATGGTGAGAATTTTTCAACGCTTAAGCGGTTATTGAAATATTTAATGAAATTAATGAGTGAGTAATACTAAATAATATAACAAATAATATGATAATATATAATAACATATAGTAGTAAATAATAATAGCAGAGTAGAGTACCTAAAATTCGAAGTGCTAATATAAATACTTCAAACTCTAAAGTATACTCATATTACATATTATCATAAGAAATTAGTTAGGTTGACGAATCAATAAGGTACATTAGATGTCACTCAGTAATAACAACTGGCGAAAGCACATCGTTGAAAAGTAGTATAACGGATGCTATTGGACATGTTCTTTATACTGAATATTATAGTGTTATCTGCAAATATAACAACCACATATTTAGAGAACATTAAACGATCAGCTATATAGATAAGATACAGAAACAAGCTCCGGCGAAAAAGGTGTTTGAAGCAGTAATTGGCGGAAGAAGACGTAGAAGTAGACCGTGTCTCCGGTGGAGTGATCAAGTTGAGGGAGCACTAATTCGACTTGATATACGAGACTGGAGAAGGCGCGCACGCAACAGAGGCGCCTGAGGAGACATGCTGCGTCAGGCCGAAACTCGGTAACGGGTTGTTATGGCCACATAAGTAAGTAAGTACAGAAACAAGCAAGTACAATTATTACAGCTAATATATCGATTTCTTTTTTGGGATTAAAGAATTGTGTTTTATTTTGAATTTACTACAAAGTATATATAAAGTGATTTCAGAGGATGGCAATAATTTAAATATCTACTATATATTAACAAAATATTTTTTTCTTCAAAAAAGTAACCGAGAATGCACTAAGGTAGGCACGGGAGAAAACATATACTACAAAATATATTTTATGGCAGTATTTTTGGAGTTCCCTAATATATTAATAATAAGATTGAGCAATTCAATGTAAAATATAATATATGCACATATCAAGAGAGATCTTATTTCTAAACTCTCCCTTGATATGTTACTCAAAGAAAAATAGTATATTATTTTTTAGCAGTTTCGTGGACTTGTTTGATATATAATTCTTCACCCAAATCGGTGATTAAGAACTTGATATTCGACATCAACACTTTAGCAAAAACTATTCATAATTGAGACACATGACTTACAACTCCATATAATGATATCAAAGATAGTTTTCTTTCTAGATTTGGAACTATTTGAATTACAAACCGTTCTATTATTTTAGATAATAACCAAATGCAGAGATTCTGTTGTTGTAGCGGATTTGGATTTGACGCAGCATTTTTCTCCAGGCGCTTCTGTTGAGTGCGCGACTTTTTCCCTGGAGCATCTTGATCCATTTTTACGACATGACTAAGCCAGTAAAGCCACTAGATGTTATGGAGAGTTTAAAATTTTAAAATCTACAGAACCTGAGGACTCATTTTTGTTTAAAACAAGAGTAAGTAAATATATCAAATATCAATGAAGGAGTATGCAAATACTTGACATAATTGGTTTATTAGGAGCAGCTGGAGATTTGATAAAATGGAGAATATAATTTATTTAAGTGTATGTTTTTTATGGTCAAGGCAACGTTTATGCAATTTGCTTGTTAAACAGAAACTACTGTTACTTGTCAGGTGATTAAACAAAATATTGTTAAATCTAGGACTATATCATGTATAGAGACGTCGAATTGAATATTTTCTATACCATCATATATACGTCAAACCAACCATTTTTCAGTCAATCTATTACTAATGTGACGATTTTCTATTGTTCAGAGATCACATATTTATAATGTCTTCCTTGATAGAATAAATGGAAGATTCCGTTCCGTTTGCAAGATATTCAGTTTAAACACTGGATATATGTAGTATTTAATTCCTGAAAAGCAGAGGCTTCAAAAATTATTTCTCGTCACAAATAATTTTTATAGTAAAATTTATATTAATGTATAAATATGTTCCGATTTAAATAGAATAAGCACATCTAAGGTATTATATTTCTAGTGCAATGTTTGCAATAGACTTTTGTATTTTCAGTGCCAATGCGTTGATGTCCTTGACTGCAACTGCGGTTGCTGTTAATTTTTCCGTTGTTGTCATAGCAGCTGTTTGTTGCTCTGATTTATGCATTTTATAGTTGCTGACATTGTTCTTGATGTTGATGTTGTTGCTGCTGATGTTGTAACCATACTCATGACACAAATTCCTTAAAACCATTACAAGTGTAAGTAATTAAAAGCTTTGCTATATACACATTTTGCTCATTTCGTTACACTAGAAACAAATCCTGTTTGTATGCTGGCAACTTTCAGTTTTCTTGTCCTAGAAACCGCAATTTTTCCAGAGCATATAAGTAAACAAAGACATAACCTCGCATATATAACACTATATGTATATGTATATTAACTGCAGCCACACTTTTTTATATGTGATTTCAATTAATTTAATATAAGATTTTGCAAGAAAGACAAATTTTTATATATAAAAATTAAATAGATTTTAAAAAAAAATTAAACTTTAAAAAAAAATACTAAAATTCTGGTATAAAAAATGTTATAATTATTTTAATTAAACAAAAAATGAAAGTCTTATAATTTTTTTACTAACAAATTAAATCTTAAAATTAAAACTAAAAACAACAAGAACTAAAGAGTTAAGGATATGGTCCTTCACCATCCTGTACTGGTGGCGTTGCATAGCTATCAATCGTCTGTACGGATTCATCAATTTGTGGTACTTCTTGGCTAGATGAAAGCTGTTGATTTTGTACTTGTTGTACATTAGCAAAAGCCAATTCTACTGATGGTTGAAATTTAACCACAGGAGTAGCGATTTTAATAGCTACTGGTTCACGATTAACAACAGCATTAAAACCACTATGTTGATCTGCAGTATATGAGACAACACGTTTAAATCCATCAGGATCGACAACACTATAAACACCACGCACATTATAGCCATCACGTTGTTCGGAATGGGATTTTATGTCACCAGTTGTCTCATCATGTACACCATAGCTAAATTCATATTTGGCTGGAGCTGGTGGATAATATACAGCAGCAGCTGGTGCTACCAATTGTTGTGCACGATAGTCAAATCCATAATTTGCTCCTTGATTACTGACAGCATTGTATGTGTTGGGGTTGTTATATTCATAATCTCCAGCAGTAGCAAAACCCAATAGGCAGAGTACAATAATGAACTAACATATAAAATAAACGGCAGGCTGGTTAATAAACTTCAAAATTCAACGTCACTTAGAAACTTACTCTAAAGACCATTCTCACAAAATTTATTTTTAATAATTGCTGTCCTTAGTTAAGGTTGTTACTCAAATTACTGTCAAAATACGACTCTGATCATAGCAGACAATTTCATTCATTTTTATACTAAAATTTTGTCAAAATTGGCTCAAAGATGCGAATATAAATTTTGTCACTGCTCTACATTTAATAAGCGTATTAAATATTATATAAAAATATCTCATATTGCAAAAATTATTCGAACAAATTTCACTTAAGCAATTTCGCTCCATAACCAATTATTATAAATCAGATATTCATTTTTATAAATACACCTACATATATATATATGTTATATATATAGGTGATTGGATATACCGAGCTACGCAACATGTAATTGAACTCATTTGAGAAAAAATTTAAACAGATTCGAATTATGTTTATTATTTATTAAATAATATACACATAGCAATATACATACATATATATAAAAAAGTAATTCTTATACTATAGGTACAATAAAGGTTTTTAAAAATAGCAAATAAAAGCGAAAAGATACTTTAAAATTGTTATTTCGTTTCAAGCAGTTTTTCGTTACTATATTTGTTAAATATTGTTTACAACATGGTTAAATGATATATATCATTAATTTATTAAACGAGCTGGTAAAATTATTTAATTGAATTTATTAATAAAGAAATACAATGCTAAAAATAGCTCTAGCTTTGCCGCAATCACCTAGTAATCGATTATATATTATTTATTAAATTTCATAGCATTGTTAATTAAATAATATTTATTGAAAAATAAAATCTATGCAATTCTAATTATACATTTCTATCCAACAATTAAGTTCATTTCAAAATATTGTCAAATAAGTGATAAAATCAGAGAAAGGTCGAAACTTTTTCGTGTTTCTTCTACCAAAAAAACTTAAAGCACTTAAACGATAATCTCCAGGTCTTAAGTAGGGTGGTAATGTTCCGGGAGCCATTTTATATTTACGTATATAATAAAATCCTTCCATTATTGGACAATTTTCCATTAAGTTACTATATTTTAGTAAATTACGGTACCAAGTTTTCAATAAACTCTCTCGAAAGAATTCATTTAACAATTTACACAAATCTATGTCATAAGAAAAAAGTGATTGATATTTTTTAGAATCGGCCAATCGTATTTGTAGATCAATATAATTGCGTAGGCCATAATTTAAAGTATGTGTGATTTGCATTTCAGCATTAACGGTGCCATTATCGATCCAATAGGTAACATTGGTGATGAATGGAGAAAGTGTTTTTATTTCCATTTTAGTAAATTTCATACTTAGTCCTGTTTTGGGAAAAATGAAATTAATTTTTCTTTAAAGATATATATTTGTCTAAATACCTGAAAAAATCTCTGGAATGACAACCGGAACTATGCTCACAAAAATACATAACAGAATGCAGTGTTTTTTATTGCTTAAGAACTTCATTATTGTTCAGAAATATATTTTAGAATTGCTATTGTTTAATATACTCGATATCCATTGAATTTTTCCTACTTAATCACTTTTTAATGAGCAGAAAATTATAAATTATATTAATGGTTGACAAAAATGATTAAATTTTTGGATATGAACAAAATTATAATTACATTTAAAAATATAGTACGTAAGTTAGGTCTGTACAAAATTTTGAGATAATTGGTTTAACTTTTAAACCAAGTTTTTTAGCATAAAACTGTTAATATTAACATATAGCATTTATTAAATTAAATAAAATACACTATATGCAAAATAAAAGACTAACTTAACTTGTTCAAGCTTATCTTCAAGTATCTTCACTACCATAGTTATGCTAAAAATATATTTTTTATTGAATTCTTCGGATTGCAAACTGCAATCTATAGATTCACTTTATTTTTGAATCTCTTCATGAATTCATAGCGTTTCTTTATGACAACTTAACTCAATATAGGTATTATGGAATCAAACTTACTTCATCAAGTCGTTTTTCTTCGTCTTTCTTGTATATCTAATGCACATCCACGTATATTTTTCGTTTATTAGGCGAGCCAGAATAAGTATATCCAATAGAAGGTGCAATCACAATCACAATACAATAGTGGAAATATTTAACCACATATGTGTTGCCTTGTGTTGTTCTCTTACCTACAAACCCAATACGTCCCTCAGTTTTCCTGTTTTATTAGGTGTTAGTTTAACTTAGAGTTAGAAGTCTATTAATGAATCTTTAGTTACTTTTATTAAATTTTATAGAATTCTTAAAGCAATTTAAGTTAAAGGTTCTTAAAAGCAATTTGGATTGCTTTAGTCTTAGTAAATTGTTCCAATATAGACCAATATAGAGTTTTTATAACGCTTGGCACCTTATTAACTGCCAATTTTCAAACAAGTTAAGATCAGGATGTGTTATTATTTATTATATATGAATATAATTGATATTGATATTGTTTATCTTAACAGAAGTTATATCACATGTTCACAGATCAGTATTAGTATGAGAATTAATGGGAATATTGCGTTTTACAATTGAACTTTTCTACTTATGATAAAGTGTATGCACTACTGTTAATGTCTGTAGTCGTATACTACTATTATCTTTACGACCAAAATGCTACATTTTTTATAAAAGCGTATCACTTACATTCTGCTTACAATATATAAAGATTAATAAACTGACATAGGCAAATAAGTACTCTTAGCACAATATATATATTTTTAATGAAATACTTCCATAACTTCCATAACCCGAACTTCTATAACTCGTATTTTCTATAACTCGAATTTTCTTTAACTCGAACTATATAAAGTGCAATAGGATTTAGAGAGCAAGTTACTTACAATTACAAAAAGATTCTATAACTCGAAGCCTCCGTAAGTCGAACCTTATCTTTGCAAAATTGTACTTCGAGTTATGGAAGTTTAACTATACATTGTGACCGAAAAGTTTCCGGTCATAAATAAATAAAACGCAAAATTCTTAATCTTCATCAATATTTATTTTATCTCCTTCAAAATATGCTCCATTAGAAGCGATACACAAATGCCAACGTTTCTTCCAATCATCAAAACATTTTTTATAGGCGCTTTCCGGTATGGCTTTGAGTTCCCTCTGCGAATTCTGTTTTACGTCTTCTATGGATTCAAAACGCGTTCCTCTGAGTGGTAATTTGAGGTTGGGAAACAGGAAAAAGTCACACGGTGCAAGATCAGGTGAATACGGTGGCTGTTCGATGGTATTTATTGAATGTTTGGCCTTAAAATCGTTGATAATGTTGAACAAATTGAGGTGAATCGGAACAAGCCGGGCGTTGACACGTCGCATACACAAATTGTCCACCAAAATCAAACGAGCCATCTCACGACCGATGCCTAGCTCTCGTGCTATCTCTCTAACACTCACATGAGGATTTTTGAACACGATTTCCTTTGCCTTTTCAATGTTTTCGTCGGTGGTAGAGGTCGAAGGTCGTCCAGAACGCGGCATGTCTTCGACGGTCGTACGACAGTCCTGAAAGGCTTTGTACCACTCATAAACTTGAGTTTTCGATAAAACTGATTCCCCATAAGCCTTTTGTAGCATTCGCAACGATTCTGCACACGAAATTTCGTTCGAAAAACAAAATTTGATGCAAACTCTTTGTTCAATATTTTTTTCCATTGTTTTTTTCGCAACGCACTACTGAGGTGAACTGGTTTCAACAGCTGCCGTAAACGAACTGTCTGACAGATCGCGCTCATTTTTGGCATAGTAATTAAGGACAGTGCTGCCAAACTACATAAACTTAAAATATCGAAAAATATACAGCGCGCGAATTTTAAATGAGAACCTCCGAAAACCTTTCGGTCACAATGTATATTAACACAATGGGCCGCCTGGCCGAAATAGATCCGTTAAAAGCACCATGAATAGTTTACTTTTTCAAATACATTTTATCAATCTAATTTATTTTATAGTCATAATTTGTAACCAGATTTACGCAGGTCCTTAAAAGCACTGTGAAAATCTAACCTGAAGATAATAAAATAATATTTTGCCAGTTTCCAACATTTCCTTTATAGGCAAGATATTTAAATATATACAAATACCAATCCATATCAATTCATTTAATTTTATTAACAAAATTACTTTAACTTAAAATTTGCATATAGGCTGTAAGATTTGATACAGATCTTTGCTTCTTAGAGTTTCGTTTTCCATAGTAAGCAGTACAGCATAAACGATAGTCTCCTGAACGTAAATAAGGTGGTATACTGTTTGGCTCCAATGCGAGCTTACGTATGTAATAAAATCCCTTGAAAAATTAATAAAAATAGTTATTTAAAATATCCAATGTTATAGTAATTTCACACACTTCCATAATTGGGCAATTCTCCATAAAATTGCTATACTTCAACAAATTGCGGTACCAACTTCTTAATAAACTTTCACGAAAAAATTCATTCAACAATTTACAGACGTCGACATCATATGAAAACAAGGATTGATATTTCTTTGAATCAGCAAGTTTCATTTGAAGATCCACAAAAACACGTAAACCATAGTTTAGAGTGCGCTTCACATACATATCAGCATTTGCAGTGCCATTATCAATCCAATATGTCACATTACTGATATAGGAAGAGTCTCCAGTTACCTCAATTTTCGTGAACTTCATGCTGCGTTCTTTAGAGAAAGAGAGAGAGAGTCAAAGGCTTGCTGATATTATTTTTCAAATAAACAATATTATTTGAGAACTTACCCATATATACTGCGGAATCAGTAGTTGGTAACAGTAGGAATACAAAGGAAAGTATGATCCCCAACATATTTACGATTAAGAAACTTACACTCGAACTTTACAAATGCGGTTGTAATATCTGTTTGACATATTTTGTTAACTTCGCTAGCAATTATGATAGTTCAGTAATTATTACAAAAATAATTTTTATCTTTATTAGTTTGGTTAATTATTTTTATTCTATTCCATAAACAAATTAAGATAATAGGCCACATTAAAAAGTAATTATAATTGATTATTTCTCTGAATATATTGAACATAAGTAAATCGATATATTTCATATATAACAAAAAATAGCATATAAAGATTGTCATAAAAGCAATATAGTATATATTGCATATAAGCAGATATATTATATATATGTCCCCACATATATTTCATTTTGGTTTAGTTATCTGTAATTATCTTGAAGTACAGCCAAAAGTCAACACGGGAAATATTATCGATGATCCATATTGAGTTAAAAGCGTATTGTCCAGACGGAAACGGTAAAAGCATTAGTTTTTTCTCTAAAAAAGTGGCATCAAGTTTCTCTACAATGATGTCGTGCTGAGATTGAATATAAATATTGTACTAATTATTTCAAGAGTTATTTATATCATATATGGTATACCTACATTTAAAGGACAACTTCTGTTGAGATTTGTATGTTCTTTAATTATGTTGTATATGTACGTCGTGACTGGATTATTATGTGACTTCATAAAAGCGCAAGCATCAACAGTTATGTTATATAAAAAAGGCTTATAGCCATTTGCTCTTTTGAACAGGGCATAATTTATCTATAACATAATATGAAAGTAGAAAACTATACTAACATGGGTTAAAGCAAATTACAAATCATACCTTCAAATTCGTTATTGGTAACTTATGAACTTTTGCCCGCAGGGAAATGTACTTGTAGGAACGATTTATGGACTTCATGTAACTATAAGAAATTTCCACTGTTTTCTTATCAAGAGATTTGCAAACAATATTTGTGAATTCAACATAAGAAAACACCTTTCAAAGAAACAGTGTTAAATATTTCCTTTCAAGTTCTAAAACATTTTACCTTCACAAAAAGTAATGAAATAAATATCACACTTTTCAATGTAAACCTCGTTGAGCACATTTTCACATATATGTCAATAGGAATCTTCTTCACTTCAGGAGATGGGAAGAATATTTCTACTACTTGTTATTTTCACGCACCGATATAATATGACATTGAATTAAAAATTCAATGAAAGCCCAAATGGGAAAAGTAATTATAAACTATTTAAAAATTCATTAATTGAAAGTTTTGTAATTGATTATAAATTGTTTAGATGACAACTTGTAGATTTAATACATTTTTAATATAAAAAATAAGTTTTCTTAATTATTGTTACAAAATTGATAACATTTTTCTATAACAAATTTTAGGGAAATAAATTTTTAGGAAAGAAGTTTTCTTCCACAATATTCCAAAATCGAATATATCTCAAAAAATAATTGTAATATAAAAATTTATGTACATATCAGAATATGTATGTATACGCTTTCATAATAATTTATATACTATATCTATATATCTCTTTGAAAAAGATCCGTAGATGATAACAGCCGTAGCATCAAAACATTATGTGACAGTTAAAAGCACTAGTGCCAAAACGTGTAAGATGACTATGCTTTATAGAGGTTCGATATTAAGAGTACATCGATTCGACAATGGACTTTATAAATGTCAATATTCTGAGCAATTTTTCTCATTACGCTGAATGCCAATTAAGCTTACTTGCGAAAGTTATTCATGCCGAGTATGTTATCCATGTGGTAGGGTTTGATTAGGTGAAGGATAAGGATATACCTAAGGGTCAATAATGCAGATTGTCAAGATCTCGTCAAATGTGAAATTGTTCTTAAAAATAGTAAAATAGTGCCAATTGAGACAAGGCTTAACGGCTTCTGTATTTTGACGTGGTGATGTATGAACACATCTACTCGGATTAAATTTTTTTAATGTGTCAATAAATTTAATGTAAAACAAATAAGTTTAATTATTAATAGAAATTAATAACACATAAAATAGAGAATATTTGTAGAGTTAATTTTAAATTATGGGAATATTATATTTTAATAAAAAGGTCTTAACTTTAAAGCAGAAGTCTAGTATGTTAGAGATAGAAAGAACACAAAAGGTATTAAATTAATCACAATTGTTAAAATACTATTATACCCTTAAAATCTGCAGATAGTGGAAATATTCATTTGAAAAACACAATAAAATCCACAAAAAATTTTATTTTTTCTATTCAACCACAAATAAAAAGTGTCAAGTTAGTTACAGTAGTATGAAACTTATAATTGTGATTTAACTGTCTGCCTAACATTGCTTTATGGTTTTAACCAAAAGCTGCATAAAACTGACAACCATTATTCATATGACTGATAGTATTTTATGACTTTAAAAAATTTAAATAAATAAATATATATAAAAAATAGAAACTTAGTTGTTTTATACTATACTTTTTTTCTTCTTCATCATCATTAATAGCTCGTAAGCATAGGCTCGTAAGCTTAATACTTCTTTAGAAAGATTGTATTGGCAGCTATACTTCACAGCGGCGAAAAGTTGACTGGATTTCTAGGATTTCTTGACTTTCCATGATTTCTTGAATTTATTTGAACACTCATTGAAAACAATTTAGCTTCAAAAAAATATATTTATTCACTTAAATTTGAAATGTTACAATAACATCAAGAATACTTATAAAGAATCATGCCATCTTATTTTAATATAACTAGTTAGTTAATTTGTCATGTCCATCGTAACCACATTTCTTTAAATTTAAAATATTATCAAATATGTAATAAATTCAGAAATCGGTTTAAATTTTTTTGTGTTTCTTTTACCAAAATAATTAATTGAGCTTAACCGATAATCCCCAGGTCTTAAGTATGGTGGTATGCTGCCTGGGTCCAATTTAAATTTACGTATATAATAATGTCCTTCCATTATTGGACAATTTTCCATTAAATTACTATATTTCAGTAAATTACAATACCAACTTCTCAGCAAACTCTCTCGGAAAAACTCATTAAGTAATTTGCATAAATCTATGTCATAAGAGAAAAGTGATTGATATTTTTTAGAATCGGCCAATCGTATTTGTAGATCAATATAATTGCGTAGGCCATAATTTAAAGTGCGTGTGATTTCCATCTCAGCATTAAGGGTGCCATTATCGATCCAATAGGTAACATTGCTGACATATGGAGAAAGTGTTTTTATTTCCATTTTAGTAAATTTCATACTTAGTCCTGTTTTGGGAAGAAGCCAATTAATTTATATTTGAAATTATTTTTTTGTTGAAATACCTGAGAAAATCGCCGGAGAGACAACATGAATTATGTTTTGAAAATAAAATTGAAGAATGTAAAAATTTGTATTGCTAAGGAACTTCATTGTTCATTGTTAGAAGTATACTTTCATTCAAAACTCTATATTCCCATTAAGTATTGTGCAACGTAATGGTTTTATAATGAGCATTAAAAAAATAATTATATCATTTTGTGTTAAAATTGCAAATAATTGTTAAAAATCTAAATTGAAATTATGACTATGTGAACATTTTTTTAGTTCATATTAAATAATTTTAATAGTAATTATTTATTTATTGTATATATATAGTATATACATATATGCTGGATAGACAATGTAGAGCAAAAAGTGGCGCTGCTTTAAATAGAAACTGGAGAAAGCAAGAGACTAAATGATGCTAATTACAAAGAGAGGCCAAGATTCATTTAGGATCGTTGCGCCATTAATGATAATGAATAAGATGTTTTTAAGAAGTACAAGGAATGAGTGGTTAATAATCAAAAAACTTAATTGTTTTAGTTCATTCGATGAAAATCACAAATTATGTTGTAGATCATTTAACTAAACTTGATGGCAATTAAATATTTAATAAATTTTTTTGAATAATTTTTTTAAATTGTTAGGTTTGTTCATTTTTATTATGTAGTTAAATTTTTAACAAGTAGTTTAACTCATTTCCACATCTAGAACTAGATGCACTTAAATGCATAGGTGTTAATTTTTATCTCAGTATATAATAATTCTACATATACTATACATATCATATACAGATGTATACTATAAAAACTGTTTATTTAAATGATATTAATTAAACGTTTTTATAATCTTCTATTTTAAAGTACAACCAGAAATCAGCCCGAAGCACTTTAAAGACGAACCATTTGGAGTTAAACGCATATTGTCCAGTCGGAAATGGTAAAAGTGATAATTTGTCAGCAAAAAAGGTTGTATCAAGTTTTTCAAATATAAGGTCATGCTAAGAGTAATATTGTTATAAGTGAAATATTGTAATAAATAAAGACTAACTATAAAGTACTTACATTTAACGGGCAAGAATGATTTAGATTTGAATATTTTTTAACAAAATCGTGAATAAAGATTGAAACAGGATTATTACGTGATTTCAGAAATGCGCAGCAATCCAAGGATATATTGTAAAGAAAAGGTTTATATCCATTTGCTCTTTTAAGTACTGCATAATTTACCTATTCAGTAATAGATGAGAAACAATCACTTTGATTTTGGGTATGAAAAATGCATGTAAAAGTAAAAAACTTACCCACAAATCTGTAATCGGTAATTGTAGTATCTTTGCTCTTAGTGAAAAATACTTGTAGGAACGATTAACTGATTTTAAATAACAATAAGTGAACTCCACCAATTTCTTATCATGAGATTTACAAACAATATTTGTAAATTCAACATATGAAAATGCCTTGAAAAAAATAAAGTTCAATATTTAAGCTTTAATATTTGATCGACATTTTAAGGAAATTCACCTGCATTAAAAGTAACGAAATAAATATCGAACTTTTTAATAAATATCCTAAGGACCGCATTTTAAATTAACATTAGCTGTTGGATGTATTTTATTCCAAATAATTAAGTAAATATATTAACTACTTGACGTTACTAGAGTCAACTTCGAAATAAATAAAAATATGATTTCAAAATGAATATTTAATGAAAACGTAATTAATTTCTATAATTAAAATCTAATTAAATATCCATTAAGATCTTTTGGTTATTGATTATAAATATTATGTTGCCAACATTTTCAATAGTACGTTTGTCTGAATGTTTTTTGTAGTATTATTTAATTTAAAAATTTTTTCTTATAAATTTTGCTAATTAATGTAAATAAAATTATACATTATTTAATATTTACAGCACTATTGAATATTTAGACTAACATATTACTAACATTGCTTGAATAAAAAGTAAAAGTTAGCACCACAAATTTTTTTCAGTGTATTGTTAGCACTGTACTATATTACCACTTGGTTGGGAAATTAAAAGACTTAGGACGTGTGCGAGTTAGGCTAAGTTGATGCTAAACCAAATATAAGATTTTTAGGCACACATTTAACCTTTTATCAACACTTCACTACATTTTATCAGCACAACTTAGAATTTCCCTCATTTAGAACGCAACTTAGCCTAACTCGCACACGTCCTTAATTGAGATTATAAATATTTGCTAATATAAGCAAATTTAACAAGTCTTAATTTCCGATATTTACAGCCCAATTATTACATACAGAATATTATACCAGTAGATATATCTGTTAATATAAGTTATGATGGATATTTGCCGATATCCGTAGAGTTAACCCATGGATCATTTTATCAATAATTTTTTGAGTATGAGAATTTCCTTAATACATCTATTACTTTGTGTTCTGTTCCTTGAATACTTGCTACTGAACATAAAATTATATACCAAAAAATAAACTATTTTTGCTATTTATTATTCCCTTGAGAGTGCTTGGTAAAAAAACCTCTATGAATGTGAGAGAACAGTCGCCATACTCATTTGGCATGGCCATGTGACTTTTTTCCGTTCTCAAAACTAAAATAAATTAAAATAAAAATAAAATAAAATAAAATAAAATAAAATAAAATAAAAATAAAATAATAAAAAAGCTTTCATCACCAATTCTTCCACTTTATCGCTTTGTTTCAGTTTATAATTTGACGTCTCGCTCTTGTGATCGGTGATATTGTTTTAGGGTGGTCGAGAAGGTTTAAAGCTAATAAGAATAATA